TTCCTCGCTCACTGTACCCTCAGCTCCTCGCTCACTTCCCTCGCTCTGCTGATTCCTCGCTCACTAGTACCCTCAGCTCTGCTGGTCCCTCACTCACTAGTACCCTCAGCTCTGCTGGTCCCTCATTCACTAGTACCCTCAGCTCTGCTGATCCCTCACTCACTATTACCCTCAGCTCTACTGATCCCTCACTTAGTAGTACCTCCAGCTCTTTTGATCCCTCACTCAGTAGTACCCTCAGCTCTGTTCATCCCTCACTCAGTAGTACCCCAGCTCTGCTGATCCCTCACTCAGTAGTACCCCCAGCTCTGCTGATTCCTCACTCAGTAGTACCCCCAGCTCTGCTGATCCCTCACTCAGTAGTACCCCCAGCTCTGCTGATCCCTCACTCAGTAGTACCCTAAGCTTTGCTGATTCTCCACTCAGTAGTAACCCCCAGATCTGTTTATCCTCTGGATTGCTGATCCTCTCTCTCTCTGATCCCTGCTCACCTTCCGCTATATTGCTCCCACGCTGCACACCATGTGTGACATTGCCAGTTTCTCCTGCTCTGGTCCCCCAGCTCTGCTGATCCTCTGCTGCTTAGTCCTCTCCCTCCGGTCCCCACTGTTCCATGCTTCACCCTCCACTATAGTGCTCTCATATAGTGCTCTGCTAGTTGCTCCACTCAGGTCTGGACCCCCGCTCACCTTCCTGCTGCTCCTTGCTGCACACCAGATGTGATGTCTGCACCAGACACTCCCAGAATATACATGAACCTGAAGTGACTGCTGATGACATCTTTCAGGTTCCTTTGTTGGTTTCCCAGTGCATCCTGGGATATCTCATACCTGCAATACCTCTAAAACAAAGCAAAACTAACTCTGAATAAAAGCTGCAGGTGCTGTAAGCAAGCATTGCCATAGACTTCTATGGAGACTCTGGCGTCGCTTTGAAGCACCAAGAAAGCGACGCGGGGTATAATTTTTTTAAGAGAAGCAAAGCAAATGCAACAGTGTGAACAGGACTGTAAGGCAACCAATTTATTTAGTGTCAGAGGCTTTGCTCGGCATTCATAGCACTTCAAACGGTGGCTTTGGGCAAGATTTTTTAAAGCAAGTGTAAATGAGCCAATAGTAGTCAGTTTGGTCCAAACCCAGGTTCAGTTGTACCTGTAAACCAGCTGTCACTGCTGGGCCAATGAGCTGTGGTCAGGAGATTCCCTGTCTTGCTGCTGACATACACAAAGGGGGTGGAGACGCGTGTGACATCATCGACCTACTATGGACACATGGCCATTGTAGGTCAATGATGTCACAAGCATTTCACCCCATTTGTATACATGCATCATGGCCCAGCAATGACAGCCAACTGGATTTGGACACACCCCCAAGTGATCATTGGCAATGGGACAGAAAGACATATTTTATAGTTGTCAGCAGAAAAGGGTGCTCCGGTGACAACTGTCTTAGAAGAAATTTCCTCTCGTTTCCTGTTGCATCTACAGGAAAGGAAGTGGAAGAAAATCTCCCCAACAATGCACAGCCAGCAAGAAAAAAAAAACAAAAAAAAAATAAAAAACTAACAGGGGTTTTAACCCTTCTTTACTCTATCCAAACCTAAAAAGAATAGATTTGTCTCTATATATTAATTAATTTCAGGTACTTATATAGCGCCGTCAATTTCCGCAGCACTTTACATATATATTGTACATTCACAGCAGTCCCTAACCCTCAAGGGGCGTACAATCTAAGGTCCCTAACCCTCAAGGGGTGTACAATCTAAGGTCCCTAACCCTCAAGGGGCGTACAATCTAAGGTCCCTAACCCTCAAGGGGCGTACAATCTAAGGTCCCTAACCCTCAAGGGGCGTACAATCTAAGGTCCCTAACCCTCAAGGGGCGTACAATCTAAGGTCCCTAACCCTCAAGGGGCGTACAATCTAAGGTCCCTAACTCACATTCATACATACACATATTAGGGACAATTTAGACAGGAGCCAATTAACCTACCAGCATGTCTTTGGAGTGTGGGAGGAAACCGGGCTACCCAGAGGAAACCCACGCAGGCACAGGGAGAACATGCAAACTCCAGGCAGGTGGTGCCGTGGTTGGGATTTGAACCAACGACCCGAGTACTGCCAGGCAGAAGTGCTAACCACTTAGCCACTGTGCTACCCATATATGTCAATGGATTGACGTCATTCATCAATTGAATGGCTACAATTCCACAATGCATATCTCCCATTATTCTGAAAGTGGAATCCATTAAATAGTAACGTCACTATCCATTTTACCATAACTACCTTTATAGGCCCAATCCATGCTAAACGTGCACGGCACCTCCTGCCTGGAGTTTGCATGTTCTCCCTGTGCCTGCGTGGGTTTCCTCTGGGTACTCTGGTTTCCTCCCACACTCCAAAGACATGCTGGTAGGTTCATTGGCTCCTGTCTAAATGGTCCCTAGTATGTGTATGTATGAATGTGAGTTAGGGACCTTAGATTGTACACCCCTTGAGGGTTAGGGACCTTAGATTGTACGCCCCTTGAGGGTTAGGGACCTTAGATTGTACGCCCCTTGAGGGTTAGGGACTGATGTGAATGTACAATATATATGTAAAGTGCTGCGTAAATTGATGGCGCTATATAAGTACCTGAAATAAATAAATATGCTCTGTAGTTCAAACGTTCATCACAGAAAAAAAAAACATTTTGGAAAATTTCAAATTGTGGCCACTAGTTGGAGCTGAATATCATAAAAAAAAAAATTAAAGAATGCTCTTCCACTCCATCTAGTGACCATAATTGTGTATTTTCCCCATTCTCCACGCACAGGAATGAAAAAAAAAAAAAAAAAGTGGATAAAAAAAATTACGGCACAAAATTTATTCTGGAATTCTTGTCGTTTAAAATTCAGGAATATAGCTCTGTGCATCATGCTTGTACAAAAGCCTGATAATTTCCACCCAAAGTGTCCGACACAACAGCAGGTCACAGTGCACGCATTACACCCACTGAAGACTAAGGGCAGGATTGGGACATCAATATCAGATGTAAGCTGAACATGTTTTTAATTTTCTGTATATCTTAGGCCAAAGTAATCTTTAACCCCAGCCAAGACAGGATGTAATCATTGAAAAAAAAAATGTGAAATGGGAAAGTTAGGTATTAAGGCCATTAGATGGCGCTGAATATCATAGAACATAAGGAATGCGATCCATTTAGTACAGTGGACTGGGGCCGGATGTGGCCCTTCTATCGCCTTTACGCTGCCGTTGAGGCCCCATTCCATCCACTGACACCAATAATGGGGCACTATTTCTCCCCTAAATACCAACAATGGTGCTGTTCCCACCCCCCCCCCCCCCCCCCCCCCCCCACCAGTATGAGCTCTGCTGTACAGCAGACACAAGTTTGATGCCAAATCATATTCAGGTGCTTACACTGCTTGCAAAAAAAAACAAAATGTATTAATAGTTACAGAGCTACAATAAGGTGTGCCCAAAGGGCGGACTGACCGTTCGAGCACTTGGGCACTGCCCAAGGGCCCAGGGTCAGTATGGGGCCCCATGAAATGCCCCTGGTACCTTTTATAGGTTTTTTGGGTGTGCTTTGAGTGTGGGAAAGGACACAGGGGCCCCATGAGTTGTCAGTCCGCCCCTGTCAGTCCGCCCCTGGGTGTGCTCTTAATACCTGCCCAGAGTTCAGCTTTAACTTCCAAAAAACTACAATGTATTATTATTATTATACAGGATTTATATATTATTATTATACAGGATTTATATATTATTATTATTATTATACAGGATTTATATATTATTATTATACAGGATTTATATATTATTATTATTATTATACAGGATTTATTATTATTATTATTATTATTACAGGATTTATATATTATTATTGTTATTATTATACAGGATTTATATATTATTATACAGGATTTATATATTATTATTTTATTATTATTATTATACAGGATTTATATATTATTATTATACAGGATTTATATATTATTATTATTATTATACAGGATTTATATATTATTATACAGGAGTTATATATTATTATTATTATACAGGATTTATAGATTATTATTATTATACAGGATTTATATATTATTATTATAATACAGGATTTATAGATTATTATTATTATTATACAGGATTTATAGATTATTATTATACAGGATTTATAGATTATTATTATAATACAGGATTTATATATTATTATTATACAGGATTTATATATTATTATTATATAGGATTTATATATTATTATTATACAGGATTTATATATTATTATTATTATTTTATACAGGATTATATATATTTATTATACAGGAGTTATATATCATTATTATAATACAGGATTTATATATTATTATTATTATACAGGATTTATAGATTATTATTATTATTATACAGGATTTATATATTATTATTATACAGGATTTATATATTATTATTATTATACAGGATTTATATATTATTATTATTATAATACAGGAGTTATATAGCGCCAACAGTTTGCGCAGCACTTTACAAAATGTATCACTTTTTTTATTTGCCCAGAAAAAATGATTGAAGAATTTTAATTAAAAAAAAAAAGAAGGAATCGTGCCTTTAGCCTTACAAACATGACACTGATATTTTAAATAAATAACCCCGCACTGCACGTTAGAGAACACGTAAAACGTTTTCACTGCATGCAGCAGAAACTCCAAATTCCGCTTAGCGTGCTCCATCACAGCCCCGTCATTCCTATCCCAATGGTCATATCATATTGTGTCGCTAGGTGGCAGCAAAGCTTAAGATTTTAATTTTTTTTTTTTTTTTTTTTACTTCACAAGAGGGCTGTGCATGCTTCCCTTTGCCTTGTTTGTTGGGTTCATTGGCATTTGCCTGCGGAGATGAACAATATTCCTCAACTTCATTCTCTACAAGTCCATCAGTGATGTGAAAGAGACACTCAGACAAAGAATACCTTATAAGACGAGATAGAAATCTTGCTTACGTACCGGGTGTGTCTCGATGGGCTGCTTTAGTAGGAGATCCCCAAAAATTTCCTCGCAGTATTTGGACATCTTGTACTGTTGATATTTACTGAAATAGAGTCAAACGGTTTAAAAACATCATGGAGATGAACTCGGACAACAAAGTGCAATTTCAGTTTTCATGTAAGATTCAAGAATGTATTAAAAGGGATTTTCCACTATGCAAGGCTGAACTTTGCCAGGGACCCCCTCCATGTAATAATGCAGGATGCCTGCAGTCTCTAGTACACCGGTCCCTGATTACACTTACAGCCTGTTGCCTCCCCTGATCTACTTGTCCTTGGATTACACTTACTGTCTGCCACATTCCCTGATCCTGTCCTGCCCCTGAATTACACTTTCTGCCTGTCACCTCCCTTGACTTTTGCCTGTCCCTGGATTACACTTACTGTCTGCTGCCTGTCCTGACCTCTGCCTGCACCTGAATTACACTTATTGCCTAACGCCTGCCCTGACCTCTCCCTGTCCCTGGATTACAATTACTGTCTGCCGCCTACCCTGATCTTGGCCTGCCCCTGAATTGCACTCACTGTCTGCTGCCTGTCCTTACCTCTGCCTGTCCTTGGATAGCACTTACTGTCTGCTGCCTACTCTGACCTCTACCTGACTTTGGATTATTTTTTTTCTGTCTCCTGCTTACTCTGACCTCTGCCTGTCTTTGGATTACACTAATTGTTTGCTGCCTGCCCTGATCTTGGCCTGCCTCTGAATTACACTTACTGTCTGCAGCCTGCCCTGACCTCGGCCTGTCCTTGGATTACACTTACTGTCTGCTGCCTCCCTTGACCTCTGCCTGCCCATGAAATACACTGTCTGCTGCCTGCTCTTACTGCTGCCTATCCCTGGAAAACGCATACTCTGCCTGTCCCTGAATTACATTTACTGTCTGCCACCTCCCCTGACCTCTGCCTTTTACTGGATTACACTTACTGTCTGCTGCCTGCACTGATCTCTTCCTGTCCTTGCAATTACCTCTGCCTGTCGCTATAATACACCCCCTGTCTGCTGCCTCCCCTGACCTCTGCCTGTTCCTGGATTACACTTACTGTCTGCCACCTCCCCTGACCTCTGCCTGTTCCTGGATTACACTTACTGTCTGCTGCCTGTCCTGACCTCTGCCTGCACCTGAATTACACTTATTGCCTAACGCCTGCCCTGACCTCTCCCTGTCCCTGGATTACAATTACTGTCTGCCGCCTACCCTGATCTTGGCCTGCCCCTGAATTGCACTCACTGTCTGCTGCCTGTCCTTACCTCTGCCTGTCCTTGGATAGCACTTACTGTCTGCTGCCTACTCTGACCTCTACCTGACTTTGGATTATTTTTTCTGTCTCCTGCTTACTCTGACCTCTGCCTGTCTTTGGATTACACTAATTGTTTGCTGCCTGCCCTGATCTTGGCCTGCCTCTGAATTACACTTACTGTCTGCAGCCTGCCCTGACCTCGGCCTGTCCTTGGATTACACTTACTGTCTGCTGCCTCCCTTGACCTCTGCCTGCCCATGAAATACACCTGTCTGCTGCCTGCTCTTACTGCTGCCTATCCCTGGAAAACGCATACTCTGCCTGTCCCTGAATTACATTTACTGTCTGCCACCTCCCCTGACCTCTGCCTTTTACTGGATTACACTTACTGTCTGCTGCCTGCACTGATCTCTTCCTGTCCTTGCAATTACCTCTGCCTGTCGCTATAATACACCCCCTGTCTGCTGCCTCCCCTGACCTCTGCCTGTTCCTGGATTACACTTACTGTCTGCCACCTCCCCTGACCTCTGCCTGTTCCTGGATTACACTTACTGTCTGCCACCTCCCCTGACCTCTGCCTTTTCCTGGATTACACTTACTGTTTGCTGCCTGCACTGATCTACTCCTGTCCCTGCCATTACCTCTGCCTGTCGCTATAATACACCCCTGTCTACTGCCTCCACCGACATCTGCCTGTTCCTGGATTACACTTACTGTCTGCTGCCTGCACTGATCTCTTCCTGTCCCTAGATTACACTTACTGTCTGTTGCATCCCATTACCTCTGCCTGTCGCTATAATACACCCCCTGTCTGCTGCCTCCCCTGACCTCTGCCTGTTCCTGGATTTCACTTACTGTCTGCTGCCTGCACTGATCTATTCCTATCCCTACCATTACCTCTGCCTGTCGCTACAATACTCCCCTGTCTGCTGCCTCCCCTGACAACTGCCTGTTCCAGGATTACACTTACTGTCTTTTGTCTCCAATTACCTCTGCCTGTCCCTGTAATACATCCCCTGTCTGCTGCCTCCCCTGACCTCTGCCTTTTCCTGGATTACACTTACTGTCTGTTGTCTCCCATTACCTCTGCCTGTCCCTGTAATACACCCCCTATCTGCTGCCTCCCTTGACCTCTGCCTTTTCCTGGATTACACTTACTGTCTGTTGTCTCCCATTACCTCTGCCTGTCCCTATAGTACACCCCCTATCTGCTGCCTCCCTTGACTTCTGCCTTTTCCTGGATTACACTTACTGTCTGTTGTCTCCCATTACCCCTGCCTGTCCCTATAGTACACCCCCTATCTGCTGCCTCCCCTGACCTCTGCCTGTTCCTGGACTACACTTACTGCCTGCCAAGCAGCACAGGTGCTACTTTGTATATATTTCAGCCGCTTGTACCATTTTGCCAGCAAATACATCCTCAGGCTAACCAAGTACCGGCAATCCTTCTGGTCCTAATGGAACAGGGGCTGCTTTAGGTAAAGCTATGCTAACCAGCTACATTTTCTGACCACTGGAATTTTGAGAAGCACAACAGAGCTTTGCTGATGGGACATCCCTAGCTCGGACCTCTGCAGTGAGACTACTGCCTTCATACAGAAAGAAAAAGTCCTTCTCTGCAGCAAGCTGGCGGGGGATAGGTTCTCTAAAAATGGTAACTGTAAGACTTTAGATGATTTAAACTGCAGGCTCCATTGCACTTCACACTGTATTACCGCTCTCCCTTTAAAAAGGACGACTTTACTGATTACAAAGGGGTTTATTTAGAGAGGGGTGCCCCCTTTAATATTAATAACTATACCTCAATTACCAGGAAAACTGTTTGAGAACCACTGGTTGGGTTCAACCCAAATTCCATGTTTTCTCAGGTCAGAGGCCTTGTGTAGACAATAATCAGCAACAGCTGCTGGTGAAATCTGGTACTGCAGTGTGACCAGTAACGCCTTATGAGAAAATTGGATTTTTATGATCAGACTGCAGTCCACCAAGCTCTTCAAGGAACACCAAGATGTTTACTGGGGACTGTGGGAACTCGCTACTCTATGTTTGGGGTTTCTCCACCTCCGTCTCCCTCTTCTAGGTTACTCTACCCTCTCATTTAAAAGTGTTCTTCCTATGAGAAGAGGTAAATGACAGCCTACCCACCCGGGTGTGTGAAGGCACATAACTCTGGCAGCTTTTGTTGACTGGTTGAGATGTTCTATAGGCCTGTTACCGGTATGCCAATGGGGAAGCAAGCCAATAAGTAGCCCCTCACCGGCCTGCATTTCCATCAGTGTATTGGATATAGTTACTGAAGTACCCCTTTGTAAGTCTCAGATTTTCATATTTCCTGCAGATCTATACATTCCAAAAATCTGAAATTGAAATACAAGGCTCACTACTATATCAGAGTCAAGGAAGAGTTTGAGAATCACTGGTTGGGTTCAATACAGATTCCATGTTTTCTCAGGTCAGAGACCTGTGTAGACAATAATCAGCAACAGCTGCTGGTGAAATCTGGTACTGCAGTGTGACCAGTTTATGGGAAAATTGGATTTTTATGATCAGACTGCAGTCCACCAAGCTCTTCAAGGAACACCAAGATGTTTACTGGGGGCTGTGGGAACTCGCTACTCTATGTTTGGGGTTTCTCCACCTCCATCACCCCCTTCTACGCTACTCTACCCTCTCATTTAAAAGTGTTCATCCTATGAGAAGAGATAAATGAAAGCCTACCCTCCCGGGTGTGAAGGCACATAACTCCGGCAGCTTTTGTGGACTGGTTGAGATGTCCTATAGGCTTTTTACCACTATGCCAATGGGGAAGCAAGCCAACAAGTAGCCCCTCACCGGCCTGCATTCCTGTCAGTGTATTGGATATAGTTACTGAAGTACCTCTTTGTAAGTCTCAGATTTTCATATTTCCTGCAGATCTACACATTCCAAAAATCTGAAATTGAAATACAAGGCTCACTACTATATCAGAGTCAAGGAAGAGTTTGAGAATCACTGGTTGGGTTCAATACAGATTCCATATTTTCTCAGGTCAGAGGCCTGTGTAGACAGAAATCAGCAACAGCTGCTGGTGAAATCTGGTACTGCAGTGTGACCAGTTTATGGGAAAATTGGATTTTTATGATCAGACTGCAGTCCGCCAAGCTCTTCAAGGAACACCAAGATGTTTACTGGGGGCTGTGGGAACTCGCTACTCTATGTTTGGGGTTTCTCCACCTCCATCACCCCCTTCTACGTTATTCTACCCTCTCATTTAAAAGTGTTCATCCTATGAGAAGAGATAAATGAAAGCCTACCCACCCGGGTGTGAAGGCACATAACTCCGGCAGCTTTTGTGGACTGGTTGAGATGTCCTATAGGCTTTTTACCACTATGCCAATGGGGAAGCAAGCCAACAAGTAGCCGCATATCGGCCTGAATCCCCTTCAGTTTAATGGATAAAGTTACTGAAGTACCCCTTTGCAAGTCTCAGATTTTCATATTTCTTGCAGATCTATATATCCCAATAACTCTTTACTGGTACACCAATGGGGAAGCAAGCCACAAAGTAGCCCCTCACCGGCCTGCATTCCCGTCAGTGTATTGGATATAGTTACTGAAGTACCCCTTTGTAAGTCTCAGATTTTCATATTTCCTGCAGATCTATATATTCCAAAAATCTGAAATTGAAATACAAGGCTCACTACTATATCTGAGTCAAGGAAGAGGTAACAAGAGACATCTGGAGAGACTCTCATTCAGGGACAATAAAATGGTACCTGCAATGGTTCTCAAATGAAAGGATGACAGGATACTCCGAGGTGACAAATGCATACTCCTTGATGGCTATTATTACATCCTTCAAAAAATAAGAAGAGAAAACAGCGTGTTAATGAGTCTTTAATCACTGAATAAGGAAATAAATAAGACACCAAGCATAGCCATCTAAACATAAGGCCATAAGGCCAAGTTAGTTCAATTATGTCAAAAGCATTCCCCTAATTATTTGTATACATGGACCTCTGGGGTTGGGAATCTAACACCCACAACCCATTGGCCCAGTGATGACAGTCAACTTCTGGGTTTGGACCAAACCCAAGCCGATTCCTAGGTCAATGTCACTGTTTCTTGTCTTCTCCCCCAGCCCAGACACCAACCCCCATTGACTTCTCCATCATGTCCAACAACACCACCATCAAACCCGCCCCGCAGGCCAGAGTACTTGGTGTCATTCTGGACTCCAACCTATCCTTCCAGCCCCAAGTCCAATCTTTAACAAACTCGTGCAGACTCCACCTCCACAACATCGCCAAAATCCGCACGTTCCTAACTCCAGAAACCACTAAACAGCTCATCCACTCCCTCATCATATCACGACTCGACTACTGCAACTCCTTCCTCACTGGCCTGCCTCGCCGCTGGCTATCCCCGCTTCAGTCGATCCTGAATACGGCTGCCAGACTCATTCACCTTTCCAACCGCTCCATCTCCGCCACCCCCCTCTGCCAATCCCTCCACTGGCTTCCGATTGCGCAACGGATCAAATTCAAAATCCTAACACTGACGTACAAAGCTGTCCACCATACTGCCCCGAACTACATCACTGACCTAATATCCAAGTACCGCCCAGCACGCACACTCCGCTCCTCACAAGACCTCCTTCTCTCTCGTTCCCTGGTGTCCTCCTCCCATGCCCGTCTCCAGGACTTCTCCAGGGTGTCACCCATCCTCTGGAACTCCCTGCCCCAACCCATCAGATTATCACCTACTCTCCTCTCCTTTAGGCGCACCCTGAAAACCCATATCTTCAGGGAAGCCTACCCCACCCCCTGCTAACTTGCCGACCTCCTCCACTCTTCCTACCACTCCATCCCCCACAGCTATCTCCTCCTGTGCCACCATCCCCTCCCTTCTAGATTGTAAGCTCGAAAGAGCAGGGCCCTCAATCCCCTTATGCATTGTATTGGTATTGTTCTGTCACATGTTCTGTCCCCCTTTGTAATGTACAGCGCTGAGCGAACTATTGGCGCTTTATAAATACTGTATAATAATAATAATGATGTAATGAGCATGCCCACTTGCACATGCTATGGGGCAGGGAATCTCCCGCCTTCTGCTCACGGATCCAGAAATGACAGGCACCTTCTGATATTTGATCAAACCTGGTACAAGGTCAAGTTAGTTCAACGATGTCACAAACATTACCGTCATTCTCAGTATACATGGAGTTATGGGGTGGGAAATCTTCCACCCACAACCCATTGGCTCAGTAATAACAGCCATCTTCCGGATTTGGGCCAAACCCAAGCTCAATCCTAGTTCAATGTCATTAACCAAACATGGCCATATGACCATAGTAGGTTAATTATGTCACAAGCATGTACGCCCACACAGGGGCAGTCTGACCATTTGGGAACTCGGGCAGTGCCGAGGGCCCAGGGTCAGTAGGGGGCCCCATGAGTTGACCCTGGTACCTTTTCATAGGCTTTTTTGGTGTGGTTTGTGTGGGCGAGGACACAGGGGCCCCATGATCCCCTGTTGCCCTGGGGCCCCATGAGTTGTCAGTCCGCCCCTGCGCCCACATATGCTACGCGGCAGGGAATCTCTCGCCTGCAGCTTATTGGCCCAAAAGTGACAGGTACCTTCTGGTATCTGGTTTTTGACCAAACCTGGATCATACTGAACCCAAGCCTGAATCCAAGCCCATCTCTACTGACCAGCTGACCTGAGGTTTTCTACTTTCATTCCTTTCAGACACTTACAGATGTCTGTTGTCATTGTACTGCAACCCCCCTATAGGTTTCGGCCCATCTTACATACCTTAAAGAGGATATCGGTGCACATGGCCTTCCCATGAGTAATTATGGGCTCCTGGTCTTCACCTTTTCCGTCCCAGCAATCCAACTCAACACACCTGTCCATAACACAGACATACAATCAGTAAAATGTTTACAAGTACACTTTACCTGCAAAGGTATTTGGTGAACTCAATGTGGATTAACACCCTTCAAATGAAAGTTTATGGGTTCAAAGTTTAGCTTTAAAGCCTATCTACCCGGAATCATCTAAAAGCTGCCGCTAGTCAGACCAAAGTCAGGTGAATGCTACAGTGAAGGAAATGCGTATTTGCTCTCCTGCTGATGTTGAATGTTCGCCCCTCACAAAGAAACGATCAGTCTAAAAATCGAATGTTCGGTGTATTGTAACACTGAGAGACAGAATAGCAACAAAAAATTCAAAAGAAATGCCAATGGGGTATGCCAACAACTGAGGACGTACTCTGCGTACGAAACGCGTCTTTGTGGAGCCTGCACGCCCTGACATTATGCTGCCGGATCACGGAGGTCCGGCGGCCACCATATCTATACCAGCTGGTCAGTGCTCATAGCAGCTTTAGGCTGCTTTACTACTTTATCTGCACAAGGATTTGCCGCATGTACTGTATGTTCATTTTATCATCTTATACATTTAATAAATTTTGGATTATAACCTACTACACTATGGGCATTTCCTTCTGTCGCTCTTTGGTGAGCTTTTAACCCCCCAGAGCCCCCTCCCCCCTGTTGACCATTTCTATATCCAGAAGAGGTTTGCATCCATATCCTTAAAGGGGACCTCCAGGCACAGCGCCACCTTGATGTTATCCATCCACCCTGGGCTGTTCTCTCCAGTACCACCCTTAAGAGGGGATTCCGGGCAGATCTTCATTGATTTATATGCTGCGCATTATTTATGCGTATCTGGTGAGTGTGCATTTTAACTATTTGTTTGCCGCTCACATGGACTGTTGACTAACATCATATCAGGATCAACAGTGTCACCTTGGGTCGCAATTTTTAATCAATATATGCACATATATATATATATATATATATATATATATATTTCTTAATATATATTTTCTTTCCTTCTTGGACTTTTAATAGAACTATCTGCATTTTATTGAATATTATTTATATCGGTTAGCACTTCCGCCTGGCAGTAATAGGGTCGTTGGTTCGAATCCCTTCCTGCACCTTCCCCTAGCACACAAATACAAGTGAAGAAGTATATATGGACTTTTCTGACATGTATATGGACATCATTTTTGGTTACTGATATTGGTTGATTAATTTCCTTTATAGAATATTTTTTCACTTATTATTAACAGGAGCACTTGGATGTATCTATTATTTGTATTAATTCTTTAGTCTTTAGGAACTTTGAGTGGAGCGCAGCCCCATAGAAAATAACTGTAATCCATCATGTTGACGGGGACTATGGCATAGACTGGAGATCTTTTTAAACAATCTCATAGGGTTTGATTTAAAATTTAAAAAAAAAACACAGAAATACCTGCATCCAGCTAGAAGGACCTGTCTGTACATTTCTACGGATGATTTCCCACCAAACTGTCTGCCGGTAAGGTATGTATTGTGGGAGGAGCTTATAAAATAGTGTGCAAGCGAATGCTCCATTTCCTGGTAGAGTTCCAATCGATCGAGAAAGACTGGGGCATTCTCATCAGACATCAAATATCGGCAGAACCCATCGCTTGATATTTGACCTGCCAATGGTAAAGAAGAAGTCAGCTGAGAGCTTCTTGTCCAAAGACTTGTTTTGTTTACAAATTTTTTTACGGAAAAGAAAGAAAGAAACATCAACTTAGCAATTATGTCAGTTATCAGTGATATAAAGAGACAAACGAATGTAGATTAACCCTTTGAGGACCAAGGGACGTATTTGTCCCATGTTTGTAAATGTGTGTATCATCTGATTAAGAACTTAAAATTTTTTTTTTTTTGGTTTGAGTCAAAATATTAGTTCTTATCAACAAACAACAAATGGATCGAGCTTTTTGCCAATTATTTCATGAAATGGCTTAGTTACAGCAACTGAAGTGTACAAACTTTAAAAACAAAAAAATGGATTCTTTTGGCGTTCCAAAACCTTACGGTCCTCAAAGGGTTAAGTAAAGGCAATCAAGAAACGAGAACCAAGCATGTAAGAGAAAGACATTACAGCATAGCATATCAACAGCATAATATACAATTAGTAGAGTTAAGTATAACATCCGCAAATATTCAGTCCAGCAATAAATGACGATGTAACTTCCAACAATCCCATTTAATGTCAAATAAATGCATCCTATCTATTAACCACTTCCAGTCCGGACTCTTTTACCCCCTTCCTGTCCAGACCAATTTTCAGCTTTCAGCGCTATCACACTTTGAATGACAATTGCGCGGTCATGCAACACTGTACCCATATGAATTTGTTAGCATTTTTTTGAGACAGATAAAACTTTATTTTGGTGGTATTTGTTCACCTCTGGGATTTTTTTTTTTTCTATATAAGTGAAAAAGTCCAAAAAGTTTGAAAAAAAGTGTTTTTCTTATAAAATTTTGCAAATAAATAATATTTCATCATAAATCTTGGCCAAAATGTATTCCGTTATCTTTTTAGTAAAAAAAAAAAATAACCCAAATTAGTTTATAGCCAAAAATTATAATTTTTACTTTTTTTTTTTTACATTTTTATATTATTTGTTTTTTTTCTACATACTGTCACCCTAGCAGTACAGTGTCACCATGGTGACACTGTACTACTTGTGGGGGGTGATGAAGATTTTTTTTTTTACACTGATTGCTTTTACACCCATAAAGGCTGTAAAAGCAATCCTTTCTCCTTCTCTCTGGCTGCATTCTTGCAACCATTGAAAATACTAAGTGAGCTGTGATTGGTCACAGCTTGCACATGGTACAAGGCTGTTGTGAATAGCCCTGTACCATGTGATCTCTGTGATCATTCACAGATTTCACACGTAGTAAGCAATGATGTCAGAAGTGACATCTTGCTTACTACTCTGCATGTGATCACTGATTGGCCAATGAGTTATCACATGATCGGAACCTCGCACAGAGGTCCCATACATTGATTGGCGTTCCACTGTGTCCAGAGGACACTGCGGGCACCGGATTGGTCACAGCTTGCACATGGTACAAGGCTGTTGTGAATAGCCCTGTACCATGTGATCTCTGTGATCATTCACAGATTTCACACGTAGTAAGCAATGATGTCAGAAGTGACATCTTGCTTACTACTCTGCATGTGATCACTGATTGGCCAATGAGTGATCACATGGTCGGACCTCGCACAGAGGTCCCATACATTGATCAGTGTTCCACTGTGTCCAGAGGACACTGCGGGCACTGGATTGGTCACAGCTTGCACATGGTACAAGGCTGTTGTGAATAGCCCTGTACCATGTGATTTCTGTGATCATTCACAGATTTCACACGTAGTAAGCAATGATGTCAGAAGTGACATCTTGCTTACTACTCTGCATGTGATCACTGATTGGCCAATCAATGATCACATGATCGGGACCTCGCACAGAGGTCCTGTACGACGATCGGTGTTCCACTGTGTCTAGAGGACACAGCGGGCACCAGATCGCGGTGCTGCGCGCTCCCAGGGAGCACGCACAGTCCATAATGGTGGGCGCCATTTATGAACGGCAACCCGCCCCTGGACTGCCATTTATATACAGCAGCCAGACGGCAAGTGGTTAAAGTATAATATTTATGCTCCATGAGCATAACCGTATCAATTATCTGTAATACAGAGGCCAAAGGGACCACAGGTGATTTCCAATGCAGAGCTATCGCCCATAGCGTAGATACACAGATATTGTGAATCAATCTCAGCAGATCAGTGGGAACCCCTGGAATGGGCGAACCTAGTAAACACATCTGCACTGAAAGAACAGTGGAAGAATCCGCCAATGCAGATGCTACCTCTGAAATCTTACGCCATATCAGGGATAGACCAGGAAAATCCGAAAACATGTGTACAAGAGTTCCAGAGAGACCACAACCCCTAAAACAGAGGTGTGAAACACCCAGGAACATAACATGAAGTCTGGATGGGGTATAGTACCAACGGGTAAAAACCTTAAGGGCCATCTCTCGAACAGAAAGAGATCGAGAGTGCCTACGAATGTTATCCATCGTGGTGTCCCAATCGTCATCCGAAAAAGGTTGTGTTGCAATCAAGTTCCCATTTTAGCCTATATGGGGGCGCAGAGGCATAGTAGGCCTCCAGGAATAAGTGATATAAGTCTGAGACCAGGCCCCTACCCCTAGGTGAGTCACGACAGATTCGTTCAAAATAGGTAAGCGGAGCTCCTATTACATGCGGCTGGTCTCGCTGAAGCCGCGCATGCAACCCCCCTGTCTAAAGACTTTTTAAACATCATTTTATTTTATTTTTAGGGTCCCAAGCTTTATATCGTTATGTCTCTGCGGACGAATTTACATTTTAAGTCTAGTACAAGGCTATTCCTTCTGTACAGTTAAGCAAATCTGAACCAGAAAGAAAACTCTGCTCTCATCATGTAATAGGAATTTTCTGTCCGGTGAAATGGCGGAGGTGGGTAAGGATGAGCTAAAATTTCGGGGATGAACATAACAAAAGGGACGTGAGTGCTGGAGACATATTTTTGCCTACTATGGCTGCAAGGCAAAATTTGGTCCATGACATTGTCCAAATTTGGACAGGTAGCCGCATTTGGTGCATGTCGATACTGGTGACTTACTATGGCCACATCTGGTCAAGGACATTGTCAAAATATGGCCAGGTGGTCACATTAGGTGAAGACAAGATGCTGGAGGCAGCATTGACCTGTTATGGTCCATCATCAGATTTAGCCAATGACATTATCCAAATATGGCCAGGTGGTCACATTAGGTGAAGACAAGATGCTGGAGACAGCATTGACCTGTTATGGCCCATCATCAGATTTAGCCAATGACATTATCCAAATTGGGCCATTTGGTCACATTAGGTGAATGCAAGATGATAGAGATAGCATTGACCTGTTATGGTCCATCATCAGATTTAGCCAATGACATTATCCAAATATGGCCAGGTGGTCACATTAGGTGAAGACAAGATGCTGGAGGCAGCATTGACCTGTTATGGTCCATCATCAGATTTAGCCAATGACATTATCCAAATTGGGCCATTTGGTCACATTAGGTGAATGCAAGATGCTAGAGATAGCATTGACCTGTTATGGTCCATCATCAGATTTAGCCAATGACATTATCCAAATTGGGCCAGGTGGTCACATTAGGTGAATACAAGATGCTAGAGATAGCATTGACCTGTTATGGTCCATCATCAGATTTAGCCAATGACATTATTCAAATATGGCCAGGTGGTCACATTAGGTGAAGACAAGATGCTGGAGACAGCATTGACCTGTTATGGTCCATCATCATATTTAGCCAATGACATTATCCAAATATGGCCAGGTGGTCACATTAGGTGAAGACAAGATGCTGGAGACAGCATTGACCTGTTATGGTCCATCATCAGATTTAGCCAATGACATTATCCAAATTGGCCAGGTGGCCACATTAGGTCAATGATGTCACCAGCTTCCCTGTCCCTTTGTCCTGTACGGCGGACTGCTGTCAGTTCTCCGCAGGTTTGGCCCATACTCCCTTAGCTCATCCTTACTGGTGAGCTAGTACAAGAAACAGAATTGCTGAATCGTGATATAGGTGTATCAGTAGCCTGGCTGGCAGATAGGCATAAATCACAAGACCAGCTGTACTGAATTAAGGTCTTTTTGCAGGTAAAAAAGTTAAAAATATTCTCATACACAGTATGTAATTTAATCTTGTATTTACACTCACCGGCCACTTTATTAGGGCCACTTTGCTAGTGCCAAGAAAATCTCCCTCACACCATTACACCACCACCACCACCAGCCTGAACCATTGATACAAGGCAGGATGGATCCATGCTTTCATGTTGTTTATGCCAAATTCTGACCCTACCATCTGAATGTCGCAGCAACCAATCTGTGCATTCTCCTGACCTCTGACATCAACAAGGCATTTTCGTCCACACAACTACGGCTCACTGGATATTTTCTCTTTTCCGGACCATTCTCTGTAAACCCTAGAGATGGTTGTGGGTGAAAATCTCAGTAGATCAGTTTTTGAAATATTCAGACCAGCCCGTCTGACACCAACAACCATGCCACATTCAAAGTCACTCAAATCCCCTCTCTTCCTCATTCTGATGCTCGGTTTGAACTTCAGCAGGTTGTCTTCACCACGTCTAGATGCCTAAATGCCTTGAGTGCCATGTGATTGGCTGATTAGCAATTTGTGTTACCAAGCAATTGAACAGGTGTACCTAATAAAGTGGCTGGTGAGTGTATATGCTCCAACATGGAGGTTCTCATAGATTAGAGTAAGGGACGAGGTAGTGTGGCTTCCATATAGATTTGCAAAACTTGTGCAACACAACCCCCCCCCCCCCCCCCCCCCCGTTTTACGCAAATTATTTTTTTTTCTGGTAAATGTGCTGGCAAATTTTTGTTATGGGCAAACTTTCAGCGTCCTGAACCCAGTACACTTACCTTGCCGGCAACCCTCCTGCTGCTCCTCCTTCCATTGCATCCATCAAGACTACCTGGGTATAGCAGAGCATGTGACCTGGTCAGCCAATCATTGGCCCTGAACTTCATCACATGGCCGAAGTGGGTGATGTCACCACTCCTCCTATGGGTCACCAACACCACTGATTTGACTATGAGAGGGGTAGGAGCAGCGAGAGAACATAGGAGGATTGGGGGCACAAGCAAGGTGAAAGCATTTCCTTACATTTTAAAAGAATATTTACGAGGCTTGCCAATAATTGTGAACAGGGACGACTGACCATTTGTAAACTCGGGCTCTGCCCAAGGGCCCGGGGTCAGTAGGGGGCCCCATGAGATGCCCCTGGTACCTTTTTCATAGGCTTTTTTGAGTTTGGGCAAGGACACAGGGGCCCCATGATCCCCTATTGCCCGGGGGCCCCATGAGTTGTCAGTCCGCCCCTGGTTGTGAATATATTCATGTCTCAGTCATTATTTCCCATCATTCTTCTCTGGTACATTTTTGGCCAGGCTATCCTTAATTGAATCAGATTACAGCTGTTCAGCCTCCTGCAGCCAAATTTTATGTGAGATACGGAAGAGAAAGAAAGGTCACAGCCAATGCGATCTAAACCTCTCCACGTTCTGCAGTCATTTGCAGTCTGTAGTTTATATTCTAGGTCACGGTGTCACAACTCCATCAAACTTTTTGTGGTAATTAACTTTGCTGGGCTTCCAGATTGGATTCGGCCTTTCTTCTATGCATCCAGAACATGAAATAAATGTCCTTTCCATTATACGTGGCTGAGCAGGTCATTAGGAAACATATGGAATAGGAATTGCTCTATCAAAAACATCTACACCAGTAGGGTCAGAGGTCCACCATATTTGTGTCAGCCCTTCGCTTTAGGATATGAGTCCAATAATTACATTGAAGAATACGTCTCCAATACAAATACCTTTTTGCCTCAGCTCTTCATCAGGCTCATACGTCTCTATGATCTGCATTGCTCTCTTTGCATCGAAGAATGGGAACAAGATTTCATTCAGACGAGGATCTCTTTGATGCTACAGGAAAAAAATACATAATTAAAATTGTTTTTTAATATGATATGCAATATGTTGTTCATTTCAGTTAACAAATTTAACTCATTAGCACATTTACATCTTAATTTAGAGGTGTAGTCCATCCAATTTCAGGTTTTGGTAGATGGTGGAGAGTTAGCCAGTTGATTAGGAGGACATATGTAGGCTGTCATTGCTGTCTTCTCCTTCTGAAAACATCAGTAGCCTGGCCAAACGTTTTTGATAGATGGTGGAGAGGTAACGTCAACCAACCAGGAGGACATATGTAGCCTGTCATTACTGTCCTCTCTGTCTGATGACACTAGTAGCCTGGCCAACTGGCCAAAAATGTTTGGTAGGCAAAGAGTTAAAGTCCACCTACTAGGAAGACATATGTAGGCTGTGATTACTGTCCTCTCTTGATAATACTAGTATCCTGGCCAACTGGCCAAATGTTTTTAGTAGACGACAGAGCGTTAAGTCCTTCTACTAGGAGGACGTATGTAGGCTGTCATTGCTGTCCTCTCCTTCTGAAAATACTAGTAGCCTGGTCAACTGGCCAAACATTTTTGATATATGGTGGAGAGGCAATGTCAAAAAACCAGGAGGATATATGTAGCCTGTCATTACTGTCCTCTCTGTCTGATGACACTAGTAGCCTGGCCAACTGGCCAAAAATGTTTGGAAGGCAAAGAGTTAAAGTCCACCTACTAGGAAGACGTATGTAGGCTGTGATTACTGTCCTCTGTGATTACTGTCCTCTCTTGATAATACTAGTATCCTGACCAACTGGCCAAATGTTTTTAGTAGACGACAGAGCGTTTAAGTTCTTCTACTAGGAGGACGTATGTAGGCTGTCATTGCTGTCCTCTCCTTCTGAAAATACTAGTAGCCTGGTCAACTGGCCAAACATTTTTGATAGATGGTGGAGAGGCAACATCAAAAAACCAGGAGGACATATGTAGCCTGTCATTACTGTCCTCTACATCTGATGACACTAGTAGCCTGGCCAACTAGTCAAAAATGTTTGGTAGGCAAAGAGTTAAAGTCCACCTACTAGGAAGACATATGTAGGCTGTGATTACTGTCCTTTCTTGATAACACTAGTATCCTGGCCAACTGGCCAAATGTTTTTGGTAGACGGCGAAGCATTTAAGTCCTACTAGGAGGACGTATGTAGGCTGTCATTGCTGTCCTCTCCTTCTGATAATACCAGTAGCTTGGCCAACTAGCTAAAAAACCTTTGGTAGATAAAGGAAAGTTAAAGTCAGTCTACTAAGAGGACATACATATAGGCTGTTATTACTGTCCTCTCCTTCTGATAATACTTGTGGCCTGGCCAACTGGCCAAAAGTTTTTGACAGATGGTGGAGATTTAAAGTCATCTACTAGAAGGACAAATGTAGGTTGTCATTGCTATCCTCTCCTTCTGATAATACTAGTAGCCTGCCCAACTGGCCAGAGCTTTTTGGTAGATGGTGGACAGTTAAAGCCAACCTACTAGTGGCCTGGTCAACTGGCCAAAAGTTTTTTATAGATGGTGGAGATTTAAAGTCAACCTACTAGAAGGACATATGTAGCCTGTCATTGCTGTCCTCTCCATCTGATAATACCAGTAGCCTGGCCAACTGGCCAAAGGTTTTTGGTAGACAATGGAGAGGTAAATTCAATATACTAGGAGGACATACTGTATGTAGGATGTCATTACTGTCCTCTCCTTCTGATAATACTAGTTGCCTGGCCAACTGCCCCAAATTGTTGGTATATGGTGGAGAGTTAAAGTCAGCCTACAAGGAGGATATATGTAGGCTGTCATTTCTGTCGTTACTTTCTGAAAATGCTAGTAGCTTGGCTTACTGGCCAAAAGACATGCAACCCAGCAAAGCCTGCATGGCACTTCTCAAGGAGGGCTTCCTCGTGTTGAAAGCAGTGGACCTAGACTACGTAATGTGCGTTGATACAGTCACTGCAAGTCTCCATCAGGAGCCTGCTTGACAGGGTGGCAACGATGGAGCACAACTGACAGAAGGGAAAGTGTTGTCACCCTAGCAACAAATATATGTAAAAATATATGTTAAAGTGACTTTTTTATATGTTAAAAAAAATCTGAAGAACATATTAAAAAAATATATATTTTTAAAAATATTTTTTTTTAAATCTATTCTTCAGATATTTTTTAAAAGTCACTTTAACATATATTCTTACATATATTTGTAAATGCATTCCAAAAATGTAGATTTGTATTTTTAAAGACATGCAGTATATTTGAAATGTATTTTTAAAAATATTTTTCATATATTTTGTAATAAAAACGCATTTCAACATGCAGTGTATATATATATTGAAATATAATGAATGTGGCCAAAATTGTAGTATTTCAAATATATTTTTCTTCCATATGGGTTAGACCCGGAACTGGCATCAGGGGGGGGTTCAAAATCTACCTGGTACATGACACCTGTCCCAAATTTCTGAAGGTTTGAGGCCCCTGGTGGTCATATGCCCTTCCAAGCCTGCCCCCAGCTAGTGTGGGCACCCCAGTGACTCTGAAGCTTGCTAGCATGCAGGACCATTCCCCCTTCCTCTTCACCTTATTTTTACCTCCCTTCCCTCTCTCCTCTTACTGCCCCCCACCACTCCAGTCCCAGTTTCCCCATCAAATCAGAAGTCCCTCCTTTGACATCAGAGTCTCCCCTTCTGTATCAGAGTCCCACTTTCACATTAGAGTCCCCCTTTCACTTGAGAAGCCTCCACTCACATGAGAAACTTCCAATCACATATGAAGCCTTCAATCACATAAGAGGGGCCCCTTTGACATCAGAGTTTCCCTATCACATCAGAACCCCTCTTTCACATTGGTGTTACCTCATCAAATAAGTAGTCCACCCTTTGACATCAGAGTCCCCCTTTCACTTGAGAAGCCTCCAATCACACGAGAAACTTCCAATCATATGAGAAGCCTTCAATCACAGGGGGGCCCCTTTGACATCAGAGTTACCCTTCCACATGAGAAGCCTCCAACCATATGAGAAGATATCAATCATATATGAGGAGCCCCTTTCACATCAGTTTCCCCATCACATCAGAGCCCCCTTTTCACACCAGAGTTTCCTCATCAAATCAGAAGTCCCCCCATTTGACATCAGAGTCCCCCCTTCTGTATTAGAGTGCCACTTTCACATGAGAAGCCTCCAATCACACGAGAAGACTTCAATCATATAACAGGGGCCCCTTTCACATCAGAGTCCCCCCTTCTGTATCAGAGTCCCCCTTTCACTTGAGAAGCCTCCAATCACACGAGAAACTTCCAATCACATGAGAAACTTCCAATCACATATGAAGCATTCAATCACATAAGAGGGATCCCTTTGACATCAAGAGTTCCCCTTCCACATGAGAAGTCTCCAATCATATGAGAAGATATCAATCATATAAGAGGAGCCCCTTTCACATCAAAGTTTCTCCATCACATCAGAGCCCCTCTTTCACATTGGAGTTTCCTCATCAAACCAAAAGTCCACCATTTGACATCAGAGTTCCCCCTTCTGTATCAGAGTCCCCCTTTCACTTGAGAAGCCTCCAATCACACGAGAAACTTCCAATCACATATAAAGCATTCAATCACATAAGAGGGGCCCCTTTGACCCTTCCACATGAGAAGCCTCCAATCATATGAAAAGATATCAATCATATATGAGGAGCCCCTTTCACATCAGTTTCCCCATCACATCAGAGCCCCCTTTTCACATCAGAGTTTCCTCATCAAATCAGAAGTCCCCCCATTTGACATCAGAGTCCCCCCTTCTGTATTAAAGTGCCACTTTCACACGAGAAGCCTCCAATCACACGAGAAGACTTCAATCATACAACAGGGGCCCCTTTCACATCAGAATTTCCACCTTTTTCCAGCAAAGTCCCCCTTTACATTAGAACCCTCCGATGCCCGTCAAAGCCCCCCCCCCTTCACATACCTGCCAGGCAAGTAAAATCTTACAGTGGGTCGGATGTGGCCCGGGGGCCGTAGTTTGGAGACCCCTGCCCTATACTGAAATCTTGTAAACCAGGAAAAATATACATTTCTTAATTGTCACATCGTTATAAAATATCATGAAGAGCAGCACACCATTTTTTTTTCCTTCTAACACCTTTGCACGTCATCTTCATGTTCTTTTCTTGGCAATAACTTGTCATTTTCTTGCTGGATTTACACAAAGCCCAGGCAGAGCGGGTGATCATCAATCAAGCCTGGAAGTGGCATATACTGCATGTGAGCGTCTTCTCCAACTGCAGGATACGCTGATTAGACCGACACATACCGGCCGCGTCTCTCCCACAGCAGCAAATGAACTGAGAGTGGATCTGTGCCTAATGACCTATATCTCACTGCTTGTTGCCTTGGCACTTGTGTATGGCTTTGTCAGGCTGGGCGATAACACACCAAGCTGCCGCCTGTTTATATGTGTATGTATGGGAGAACTAGGAAATGAGCTCTCTGTCCTGGATTATTATTATTATTTCAGGTAGTTATATAGCGCCATCAATTTACGCAGCACTTTACATATATATTGTACATTCACATCAGTCCCTAACCCTCAAGGGGTGTACAATCTAAGGTCCCTAACTCACATTCATGCATACACATGCTAGGGCCAATTTAGACAGGATCCAATTCACCTACCAGCCTGTCTTTGGCGTGTGGGAGGAAACCAGAGTACCCGGAGGAAACCCACACAGGCACAGGGAGAACATGCAAACTCCAGGCAGGTGGTGCCGTGATTGGGATTCGAACAAACGACCCTAGTACTGCCAGGTGGAAGCGTGAAAGTAATATAGCGAAAGGTGAGCTGGGACCAGAGAGAGAGGGAGGATCAGCAAACCAGAGGATCAACAGAGCTGGGGGTACTACTGAGTGAAAGATCAGCAGAGCTGGGGGTACTTCTGAGTGAGGGATCAGCAGAGCTAGGGGTACTACTGAGTGAGGGATCAGCAGAGCTGGGGGTACTACTGAGTGAGGGATCAGCAGAGCTGGGGGTACTACTGAGCGAGGGATCAGCAGAGCTGGGGGTACTATGGAGCGAAGGATCAGCAGAGCTGGGGATACTACTGAGGGAAGGATCAGCAGAGCTGGGGATACTACTGAGGGAAGGATCAGCAGAGCTGGGGGTACTACTGAGCGAAGGATCAGCAGAGCTGGGGGTACTACTGAGTGAAGGATCAGCAGAGCTGGGGGTACTACTGAGTGAAGGATCAGCAGACCTGGGGGTTCTACTAAGCGAAGAATCAGCAGAGCCGAGGGTACTATGGAGCGAAGGATCAGCAGAGCTGGGGGTACTACTAAGCGAAGAATCAGCAGAGCTGTGGGTACTACTGAGCGAAGGATCAGCAGAGCTGCAGGTACTACTGAGTGAAGGATCAGCAGAGCTGGGGGTACTGCTGAGCAAAGGATCAGCAGAGCTGCGGGTACTACTGAGTGAAGGATCAGCAGAGCTTCGGGTACTACTGAGTGTAGGATCAGCAGAGCTACAGAGCTAGGGGTACTACTGAGAGAAGGATCAGCAGAGCTGGGGGTACTACTAAGTGAAGAATCAGCAGAGCTGGGGGTACTACTGAGCAAAGGATCAGCAGAGCTGGGGGTACTACCAAACGAAGAATCAGCAGAGATGGGGGTACTACTGAGCAAAGGATCAGCAGAGCTGGGTGTACTATTTTATTGTTTATTTATTTTATTACATATTTATATAGCACCGCCAATTTACACAGCACTTTACATATATATTGTACATTCACATCAGCCCCTAACCCTCAAGGGGTGTACAATCTAGTCCCTAACCCTCAAGGGGTGTACAATCTAAGGTCCCTAACTCCATCCATGGCCTAATCCATGGAGGGAAGGTCATCAGAAAATCAGGGACAGTAATCGGATGATTGGACGATGGATTGGATGATTGGACGATGGATTGGATGATTGGACGATTGAAGGACACATGCAATGGCAGGATGGAAGAGCAAGCCGCGGCACACAGACTGGCACAGAAGGTAACATATGAAAAGCTTACTTGATTCAGAAAGCTCACTAATTGGTCTACCGTTAAACAATCCGATTTTTCTCCGTTGCTGAAAAGAAATATTAGGAAAAAGTTAAGTCTTCAGAGAACAAATATTTCTCATCAATAACGTCACTGACACATGAACAGCACGGCATTCACATACACAACGATCGATTAGTGACATCGACCGCTATTAATAATGGCCGCAGTTAAATTCTATAAAATGCAACAAAATGAACACGGAGGAGCCGCAGCAAAACCGCAGCCAAGGGTTCTTCAGCCGACGCTTCTTGTTAGTTGGTGAATCTTGGTAATCTATAACCAAGCCGGGTAAACTAAAGACGGTTAGTAAAAGCTGCGCCATAACCGAAGTGTCAGATCTTTAATAAACGATTGTTTAAATCAGTGGTCTCCAAACTGAGGCCCGGGGGCCGGATGCGGCCCTTTGCTTGCTTTTATCTGGCCCTTGGGGCACTTTTTCCTCCCACTGATACCAACAATGGGGAATAACAATGGGGTATAATTCCTGCTACTGACATCAACTGGGCACTATTCCTCCCACTGACACCAAAGTATACAGAGTTGTCAGAACCTGGATCACCTGCTGGTGGCACTGTGCTTCCCAGAGCCGAAGGTGGTAGTTCCACTGTCCACCACCAGGTGTCTACCAACAGCCAGCATCAGGTGAAGACTGATTACTGGGATCTGCTCAGGGCTGGGAGACACCCACTGGTGGACACTGGTAACTACAACTTTCCGCTCTGGAAGTACAGTGCCACCAGCAGGAGATTCGGGTCCTGACAGCAGTTTTATATGCATGGAATATTCCATAAACAGACCCCAAAGTATACAGAGTCGTCAGAACCTGGATCACCTGCTGATGGCACTGTGCTTCCCAGAGCGGAAGGTGGTAGTTCCAGTGTCCACCAGCGGGTATCTCTGAACAGCCAGCATCAGGTGGAGACTGATTACTGGGATCTGCTCAGGGCTGGGAGACACCCACTGGTGGATACTGGTACTACAACTTTCCGCTCTGGGAAGCACAGTGCCACTAGCAGGTGATTCAGGTACTGACAGAAGCTTTATATGCATGGAATGTTCCATAAACAGACCCCAAAGTATACAGAGTTGTCAGAACCTGGATCACCTGCTGGTGGCACTGTGCTTCCCAGAGTGGTAGGTGGTGTTCCTGTGTCCACCAGCGGGTATCTCTGAACAGCCAGCATCAGGTGGAGACTGATTACTTGATCTGCTCGGTGCTGGTAGACACCCGCTGGTGGATACTGGTATTACAACCTTCAGCTCTGGGAAGCACAGTGCCACCAGCAGGTGATTCAGAACCTGACAGCACTTTTAGATGCAACGAACGTTCCATAACCTGACCCACAAGTATACAGAGTTGTCAGAACCTGGATCACCTGCTGGTGGCACTGTGCTTCCCAGAGCCGAAGGTGGTAGTTCCTGTGTCCACCAGCAGGTGTCTCCCAACAGCCAGCATCAGGTGGAGACTGATTACTGGGAACTACTTGGTGCTGGGAGACACCTGCTGGTGGATACTGGTATTACAACTTTCCACTCTGGGAAGCACAGTGCCACCAGCAGGAGATTCAGGTCCTGACAGCAGTTCTATACACATGGAATGTTCCATAAACAGACCCCAAAGTATACAGAGTTGTCAGAACCTGGATCACCTGCTGGTGGCACTGTGCTTCCCCACCGGAAGGTGGTAGTTCCTGTGTCCAACAGCGGGTAGCTCTGATCAGCCAGCATCAGGTGGAGACTGATTACTGGATCTGCTTGGTGCTGGGAGACACCTGCTGGTGGATACTGGTATTACAACCTTCTATTCTGGGAAGCACAGTGCCACCAGCAGGTGATTCAGGTCCTGACAGCAGTTTTATACGCAACGTACGTTCCATAAGCTGATCCAAAGTATACAGAGTTGTCAGAACCTGGATCACCTGCTGGTGGCACTGTGCTTCCCAGAGCGGAAGGTGGTAGTTCCTGTGTCCACCAGCAGGTGTCTCCCAACAGCCAGCATCAGGTGGAGACTGATTACTGGGAACTACTTGGTGCTGGGAGACACCTGCTGGTGGATACTGGTATTACAACTTTCCACTCTGGGAAGCACAATGCCACCAGCAGGTGATTCAGAACCTGACAGCAGTTTTATACGCAACGAACGTTCCATAAGCTGACCCAAAAGTATACAGAGTTGTCAGAACCTGGATCACCTGCTGGTGGCACTGTGCTTCCCAGAGCAGAAGGAGGTAGTTCCTGTGTCCACCAGCAGGTATCTCTGAACAGCCAGCATCAGGTGGAGACTGATTAGTGGGATCTGCTTGGTACTGGGAGACACCTGCTGGTGGACACTGGTACTACCACCTTCCGCTCTGGGAAGCACAGTGCCACCAGCAGGTGATTCAGGTCCTGACAGCAGTTCTATATCGATATAAAAGAAACCGACTTACATTGTTTTAAACAGCTCTTCTATGTCCGTTCGAGGACAAATCTTCTGTGTAAGCTCATAAAATTTATCGAATGTAAATGTCGAGGGCTCGATGTCGTCATTCTGCAAAACAACGGCAAAAAAACTAAGAAATGAAAAATGATTTAATATTTTAAAAAATTATTTTTAGAAATGATCAAATATTTTTTTTTTAGTTTAGAATGAATTCCTAGAAATAGATTCGTCTGTCGAGGAGCGGTGACTGGCGGGGGGTTCTATTGGACGGATGCCGAGGGATTGTCTGACTGACCGACTTCTTAAGTCTTTTCTTAAACCTTCTTTTTATCTGCCGTGGAAATGCCGCGCCCGGCAAATGCGAGAAGAAGTGTGCCGACCGCCATGAAATAAGTACCTTTCCACTCGGAAAACCGATGTCTTTGAGCGCTTGAAAGATGACCTTTTCCGTCCTTCCAGATGCAAATGTTCGTGTGATACTGGGGGGGGGGAGGGGAGAGGAGAGATGTTACAGGATGAATGCCAAGGGAGATTCCATAGAAAATACAGAAAAATAAACAGTGTTCTTATATACAGTGTGACCAGGGCAGGGTGGCTATGTTGTTATATACAGTGCGACCAGGGCAGGGTGGCTATGTTGTTATATACAGTGTGACCAGGGCAGGGTGGCTATGTTGTTATATACAGTGTGACCAGGGCAGGGTGGCTATGTTCTTATATACAGTGTGACCAGGGCAGGGTGACTATGTTCTTATATACAGTGTGACCAGGGCAGGGTGGCTATGTTCTTATATACAGTGTGACCAGGACAGGGTGGCTATGTTCTTATATACAGTGTGACCAGGGCAAGGCTATGTTCTTATATACAGTGGGACCAGGGCAAGGCTATGTTCTTATATACAGTGTGACCAGGGCAGGGTGGCTATGTTCTTATATACAGTGTGACCAGGGCAGGGTGGCTATGTTCTTATATACAGTGTGACCAGGGCAGGGTGACTATGTTCTTATATACAGTGTGACCAGGGCAGGGTGGCTATGTTCTTATATACAGTGCGACCAGGACAGGGTGGCTATGTTCTTATATACAGTGTGACCAGGGCAAGGCTATGTTCTTATATACAGTGTGACCAGGGCAAGGCTATGTTCTTATATACAGTGGGACCAGGGGGCTATGTTCCAGTGGACAGGGTGGCTATGTTCTTATATACAGTGTGACCAGGGCAAGGCTATGTTCTTATATACAGTGGGACCAGGGCAAGGCTATGTTCTTATATACAGTGTGACCTGGCAAGGCTATGTTGTTTATATACAGTGTGACCTGGACAGGGCGGCTATGTTCTTATATACAGTGTGACCTGGGCAGGGCGGCTATGTTCTTATATACAGTGTGACCAGGGCAAGGCTATGTTCTTATATACAGTGTGACCTGGGCAGGGCGGCTATGTTGTTATATACAGTGTGACCAGGACAGGCTGGATACATTCCCACCCCTCCTCCATTCCTAGAAGTTGTACAATGAATGGCACTCAGTGATGGGAGGAGGGGCAGAGCAATGAAAGGCCACCCCCTCCACCCATAGGGCCCTTTTTATAGCTGGAAGTGACAGTTGGTCTTCCATGAATGAAGGAGGGGGGCGGACACAGGGGTGACAAGCAGAACCTCTGGAATATCACCGCCACCGCCACTGGGGCTACAAATGCTGATCACCGGGTCCTGGCTGGAGATTCCCCACTGGCACCCGGCGATCACCGTGTGGAACTGACGGGTGAGAGGTCTGTATGTACATATGTACACAACACAGGCCTCTCTACTGCCAGCATGTCTCCCTAGTAAAACACTCCCAGCACACAATTAACCCTTTGATGGCCCCAGATGTTAACCCCTTCCTGCCCAGTGCCATTAGTACAGTGTCAGTGCTTTTTAATAGCACTGATCACTGTATTGGTGTCACTGGGGTGTCATAAAATTTTGTTACAGAAACGCATCAAAAACTCACTGGAACGCACGTGTCCCTGTTTAAATTGAAGAAAAAGAGAGGGGGGAAAAAATGAACCGAAATGCATCAAAAACGCACATTTCCCTCTTTAACCATCTCCCGTCCGGCCCATGTATATAAACGGCCTCCCCGCTCCCTGCTTGTGTGCGCTCCCTGGGAGCGTGCAGCACCGCAATCTGGTGCCCGCTGTGTCCTCTGGACACAGTGCAACGCCGATCATTGTATGGGACCTCTGTGCAAGGTCCTGATCATGTGATCACTCATTGACCAATCAGTGATCACATGCAGAGTAGTAAGCAAGATGTCACTTCTGACATCATTGCTTACTACGTGTGAAATCTGTGAATGATCACAGAGATCACATGGTACAGGGCTATTCACAACAGCCTTGTACCATGTGACAAGCTGTGACCAATCACAGCTCACTTAGTATTTCTTAATGGCTGCAAGAATGCACCGAGAGAGAAGGAGAAATGATTGATTTACAGCCTTTATGGGTGTAAAAGCAATCAGTGTAAAAAAAAAAATCTTCATCCCCCCCACAAGTAGTACAGTGTCACCATGGTGACACTACTGCTGGGTTGACAGTATGTAACAAAAAAACCAAAACATTAATAATAAAAAAAAAAAAAAAATAAAAATGTAAAAAAAATGCTTAAAAATTATAATTTTTGGTTATAAACTAATTTGGGTTATTTTTTTTTTTTAATAAAAAGATAACGGAATAAATTTTTTGCCAAGATTTATGATGAAATATTATTTATTTGCAAAATTTTATAAGAAAAACATTTTCAAAATGTTTGGACTTTCATTTACATAGCAAAAACAATAAAAATCCCCGCGGTGAATAAATACCACCAAAATAAAGTTTTATCTGTCTCAAAAAATGCTAAAAAATTCATATGGGTACAGTGTTGCATGACCGCGCAATTGTCATTTAAAGTGTGATAGCGCTGAAAGCTGAAAATTGGCCTGGACAGGAAGGGGGTGAAAGTGTCCGGACAGGAAGGAGGTGAAAGTGTCCGGACTGGAAGGGGGTGTGAAAGTGTCCGGACTGGAAGGAGGTGAAAGTGTCCGGACTGTGTCCGGGTCCGGGTGACTGGAAGGGGGTGAAAGTGTCCAGACTGGAAGGGGGGAAAGTGTCCGGACTGGAAGGAGGTGAAAGTGTCCGGACTGGAAGGGGGTGAAAGTGTCCGGACTGGAAGGGGGTGAAAGTGTCCGGACTGGAAGAGGGTGAAAGTGTCCAGACTGGAAGGGGGTGAAAGTGTCCGGACTGGAAGGGGTGAAAGTGTCCGGACTGGAAGGGGGTGAAAGAAAGTGTCCGGACTGGAAGGGGGTGAAAGTGTCCGGACAGGAAGAGGGTGAAAGTGTCCGGACAGGAAGAGGGTGAAAGTATCCGAACAGGAAGGGGGTGAAAGTGTCCGGACAGGAAGGAGGTGAAAGTGTTCAGACTGGAAGGGGGTGAAAGTGTCCGGACTGGAAGGGGGTGAAAGTGTCCGGACTGGAAGGGGGGAAAGTGTCCGGACTGGAAGGGGGTGAAAGTGTCCGGACTGGAAGGGGGTGAAAGTGTCCGGACTGGAAGGGGGTGAAAGTGTCCTGGAAGGGGGTGAAAGTGTCTGGGAAGGGGGTGAAAGTGTCCGGACTGGAAGGGGGTGAAAGTGTCCGGACTGGAAGGGGGTGAAAGTGTCCAGAAAGTGGAAGGGGGTGAAAGTGTCCGGACAGGAAGGGGGTGAAAGCGTCCGGACTGGGAGGGGGTGAAAGTGCCGGACTGGAAGGGGGGAAAGTGTCCGGACTGGAAGGGGGGGGAAAGTGTCCGGACTGGAAGGGGGGGAAAGTGTCTGGACTGGAAGAGGGGGAAAGTGCCCGGACAGGAAGAGGGGGAAAGTGCCCGGACAGGAAGGGTGGGAAAGTGTCCGGACTGGAAGGGGGTGAAAGTGTCCGGACTGGAAGGGGGTGAAAGTGTCCGGACTGGAAGGGGGTGAAAGTGTCCGGACAGGAAGGGGGGAAAGTGTCCGGACTGGAAGGGGGTGAAAGTGTCCGGGCTGGAAGTGGTTAAAGTGAAGAAAAAGAGGGGAAAAAGTGAATTGAAACGCATCAAAAACGCACTGGAACGCGTGTCCCTATTTAAATTGAAGAAAAAGGATAAAAAATGAACCGAAATGCATCAAAAAACGTGCCAAAACCACACATGCAGAAACCCATCCGGAACGCCTCTGGACTGCCTTTCTATGGTGTGAACCGGCCCTTAATCTTTTGTGAATAAACACCTAATTTAAATACTGCACTTTGGTGGCGCCCCCCCTCCCCCTCCTCTTCTTTTCATTTCTTAACACAGAGCTGGCCAATCGCTGAGGATGGCCTCCACCGGGGCTGATGATCACTAACAATAGGGACTCTGGGACAGAGTATAGGACACATGCAAGCTGGCCGCCGTCCCCCTGTGCACCAGAACGTACTTACCTCTTTACTGAAGGCCAATAGACGGTGCACTCTGCAAAGTGCAGTCGCTCCAGAGCTTAGTAAATGAGTAAAAGCTCTGGGGACCTCCATCATCCAATCACGTGCAAGCAAAAATGCTGTTTTTTTTTTCCTTGCACGTGATTGGCTATTCTTTGCAAAGTGAAGCTTCCCCTCATTTACTAAGCTCTGGAGCAGCTGCACTTTGCAGAGTGCACCGTCTATTGGCCTTCAGTAAACCCCGCCCCCTCTTCCATCTCCAGCGCTGACATTTGGTATATTTGAACATTTCCTGTATTGGCGACGGAGAAACATTCAGACATGAATTCACCTCTTACCTTCGGACGGGGATTTTCCCATTGATGTTGGTGAGGAACATAAGTTTCATCCAGCTGAAAGGAACAAAAAAAAAAAAAGCTAAATTATAAAATCGCATGTGAATAATGTAACGAGACAAATCGCTTTCCTTGCTTTTCTTTTTTTTATTAATTTGTATCCAATATGTGAAAATACACACAACTGTCTGCGTTCTCACATATGGGTGTGTTCATGATAAAAAAAATTGCAGAGTTATTAGACTTGTCAGCCCGAGCAACACTCGTTCTGTGCAAATGGGGGCAAAACTCAACACAATTCGGCTCTTTTCTCTCCCTGACAAATGGTATTGATATATAGAGTGAATCAGGAAAAAGCTGCATCATGGCCACTAGATGGAGCCGATGAGCATAGGTATAATCCTCATTGACTATGGTCATCAGATCAATATATTGGCCCTGATGTGGTATTTTCCTGAATCTATTTTAGCCAATCATGGACCGCCCACCCGCAGTGTACTGCCTGCAAAGGCAAAGCGATGTATCCATTCCTTGCTGCCTGCCTCCAGATTTTGATCGCGTGCATGTGCGCCCCCCCACACACATTACATACATTACACACATCACACACATACATACATTACATACATTACACACATTACACACATTACACACATCACACACATTACATACATTACACACATCACACACATTACACACATTACATACATCACACACATTACATACATTACACACACACACATTACACACAACAAACTACACACAATAAAACAATTACATACATCACACACATATCACACAGTTAGGCATGGGCCGGGTGTGGACCTTTGCTTACTTTTATCCAGCCCTTGGAGCACTTTTCCTTTCACTGATACGAAGCACTGACACCAACTGACTTCCATTGACACCAATGATGGGATGCTATTCCTCCCACTGATACCAATGATGGGGCACTATTCTTCCCCCTGACACCAATGATGGGGCACTATTCCTCCCACTGATACCAATGATGGGGCACTATTCCTCCTATCTATACCAATGATGGGGCACTATTCCTCCCACTGACACCAATGATGGGGCACTATTCCTCCCACTGACACCAATGATGGGGAACTATTCCTCCCACTGACACCAATGATGGGGCACTATTCCTCCCACTGATACCAATGATGGGGCACTATTCCTCCCACTGATACCAATGATGGGGCACTATTCCTCCCACTGACACCAATGATGGGGCATTATTCCATCCACTGACACCAATGATGGGGCATTATTCCTCCCACTGACACCAATGATGGGGCACTATTCCATCCACTGACACCAATGAAGGGGCACTATTCCTCCCACTGACACCAATGATGGGGCACTATTCCTCCCCACTGACACCAATGATGGGGCACTATTCCTCCCACTGACACCAATGATGGGGCATTATTCCATCCACTGACACCAATGATGGGGCATTATTCTCCCACTGACACCAATGATGGGCATTATTCCATCCACTGACACCATTGATGGGGCACTATTCCTCCCACTGACACCAATGATGGGGCACTATTCCTCCCACTGACACCATTGATGGGGCACTATTCTCCCACTGACACCAATGATGGGGCACTATTCCTCCCACTGATACCAATGATGGGGCACTATTCCTCCCACTGACCCCCAATGATAGGGCACTATTCCTCCCACTGACACCAATGATGGGGCACTATTCCTCCCACTGACACCAATGATGGGGCACTATTCCTTCCACTGACACCAATGATGGGGCACTATTCCTCCCACTGACACCAATGATGGGGCACTATTCCTTCCACTGACACCAATGATGGGGCACTATTCCTCCCACTGACCCCAATGATGGGGCACTATTCCTCCCACTGACACCAATGATGGGGCACTATTCCTCCCACTGACACCAATGATGGGCACTATTCCTTCCACTGACACCATTGATGGGGCACTATTCCTCCCACTGACACCAATGATGGGGGCATTATTCCTCCCACTGATACCAATGATGGAGCACTATTCCTCCCACTGATACCAATGATGGGGCACTATTCCTCCCACTGATACCAATGATGGGGCACTATTCCTCCCACTGACACCAATGATGGGGCATTATTCCATCCACTGACACCAATGATGGGGCATTATTCCTCCCACTGACACCAATGATGGGGCACTATTCCTCCCACTGACACCAATGATGGGGCATTATTCCATCCACTGACACCAATGAAGGGGCACTATTCCTCCCACTGACACCAATGATGGGGCACTATTCCTCCCCACTGACACCAATGATGGGGCACTATTCCTCCCACTGACACCAATGATGGGGCACTATTCCTCCCACTGACACCAATGATGGGGCATTATTCCATCCACTGACACCAATGATGGGCATTATTCCTCCCACTGACACCAATGATGGGGCATTATTCCATCCACTGACACCATTGATGGGGCACTATTCCTCCCACTGACACCAATGATGGGGCACTATTCCTCCCACTGACACCATTGATGGGCACTATTCCTCCCACTGATACCAATGATGGGGGCACTATTCCTCCCACTGACACCATTGATGGGGCACTATTCCTCCCACTGACACCAATGATGGGCACTATTCCTCCCACTGATACCAATGATGGTGCACTATTCCTCCCACGGACACCAATGATGGGGCACTATTCCTCCCACTGACACCAATGATGGGGCATTATTCCTCCCACTGACACCAATGATGGGGCATTATTCCTTCTCCACACTGACACCAATGATGGGGCGCTATTCCTCCCACTGACACCAATGATGGGGATCTCTTCCTTTTTTCTCAGTTGTTTTTAGTTTATAATAACTTGGTGGTCATCAAATACCACCAAAAAGAAAGCTCTATTTGTGAGAAAAAAAAAACACAGAAATTTCAATTGGGTGCAGTGTTGCATGACCGTACAATTGCCAGTTAGAATAGTGCAGTGCTAAATAGCAAAAAAATGTCCTGTTCACGAAGGGGGGAAAACCTTCCGAAACTCAAGTGGTTAAATTATTATATTTTTGTTATATAAATTGATTAAATATGATGTTTTAATCTACAGTAACCTCCCCCCCTCCCCCCACAGGTCACATCAAAACCCAACTTTGAAATTGTGCGACTTACAGCGAAGTCACACAATTTCAAAGTCGGGGGACCTGCCGATTTCAGGTGCGATCTGCCAGACATCTGAAATCGGCATGTCACCTGACTTTGAAATTGTGCGACTTATTATTTCAGGTACTTATATAGCGCCATCAATGTACGCAGCACTTTACATATATATTGTACATTCACATCAGTCCCTAACCCTCAAGGGGGGTACAATCTAAGGTCCCTAACTCACATTTATACATACACATACTAGGGACAATTTAGGGCCAGCATGTCTTTGGAGTGTGGGAGGAAACTGGAGTACCCGGAGGAAACCCACGAAGGCACAGGGAGAGCATGCAAACTCCAGGCAGGTGGTGCCGTGGCTGGGATTCAAACCAACGACCCGAGTACTGCCAGGCGGAAGTGATAACCATTTAGCCACTGTGCTGCCCACTCCACACAAATTCAAAGTTGGGTTTGATGTGACCGGTGGGGGGGGGAGGTTACTACTTTAGGAATCGGTGCAGCTCCGACCAAGTCACAAATATGAACGCTGTAATTGCGGACAATAGGGTGCGACTTGGCATGCGATTTGCAAGTCGCATGCCATGCAAATCGCATCCCAGTGTGACCGGGGGGGGGGGGGGGGGGGTAACACTTTTTTTTTTTTTTTAACGAGCGCTGGTCAAAAAAGGAAAAATAAAAGTGAATTTTTTTAGTTTTTTCTTTGTGTGTCCCAGGATTGCATTATTTTTGCAAGATAATAACATAACAGAAAACTTTGTTCGTCCTTAAAAAGCCAAAAAAACTTTATTATGTAACGAGCGGAAAAAACAGGCCCATAGCTGAAATGTGAAAACTGCTCTCTGCTCTATGGAGGGGGGTGTAGAGGGCTCAGAGGTGCATTTGGGGGGTTTTAAATGTAAGACTTCGGGCTCATTCACACTTGTTTTTGGTCTCCGAAGAGCGATCTGAGCATGGCTCATTCTTCGGAGAGCATTTGATCGGTGGTGAAGAGGCGTGCTATCCTGCTTTAACCCCTTGAACCCCGCGCCAGCATGCTGCAACTATGTGAATGGCATGCGGTTGTGTGGCGCTTGCAGAGCAACCCCGTTCACTTGAATGGGTCACCCCCGCCGACCGAAAGCGACAGGGGATAGAATTCAGGAAAAACACTGGAGCTGCGGCGTGTGTACAGCCCCAGCCACTGTCTCTGCAGCTAAAGGGAGGGGGGTTTGAGCGGGGGTCAGTAAAAACACACTTCGACCATGGGGTTTTACCGCCCCCCCCCAACTGCTAGTGTGAACAAGCCCATAGTGATAGGGTGGAGGGTAGTAAAAAACACACTTCGATCGTGGAGATTTTACCGCCCCCCAACTGCTCCACGAGCCGGGCCCCTCCTATTCCTTCTGTACTGAAATGTATTGTAATTGTACTGTCTCCCTTATTATTGTAAAGCGCTGAGCAAACTGTTGGTGCCATATAAATCCTGTATAATAATAATAATAATAATATATAAATCTTGTATAATAATAATAATAATAATATATAAATCCTGTATAATAATAATATATAAAATCCTGTATAATAATAATATATAAATCCTGTATAATAATAATAATAATATATAAATCCTGTATAATAATAATAATAATAATATATAAATCCTGTATAATAATAATAATATAAAATCCTGTATAATAATAATAATAATATATAAATCCTGAATAATAATAATAATAATAATCGTGTAGTGAACGAGCCCATAGTGATTGGGCGGGGGGGCAGTAAAAACACATTTTGACCATGGGGTTTTTACTGCCCCCCAAACTGCTAGTGTGAACGAGCCCATAGTGGAGGTCAGAAGTCAAAATGCTGACTTTATTCAAACCAATTTATCAATTAT